TGGGCCTAGACCCTTCTTCAGAAGAAGGGTCCAGGCCCGAAACGTCAGCCTTCCTGCTCCTCTGATGCTGCTTGGCTGCTGTGTTCATCCAGCTCTACACCCAAACATATACAGCAACCCAGTTAGGAAGACAAGTAGTAAGTTGGCCTTCATTGCAAGAGAGTTTGACTGCAGGATCAAGGAAGTGTTACTGTAGATGTACAGGGCATTGGTTAGAACACCCCTGGAGTATTGTGTGCAGTTTTGGTTTTCTTTGCCTTAGTAGGAGTGCGGTGACGGTTCATCAGACTGATTACTGGGATGGCAGGTTTGTCTTTTGAGGAATGATTGGGTCGATTTGACCTGTATTCATACAGTTTCGAAAAATGTGCAGGAATCTCACTTAAACATATAAACCTTTGACAGGGCTGGGCAGACTGGATGCAGGGGTGATATTTATGCTGACCAGGGACTAGAACAAGGGATCATACTCTTGGGATGCACAATACATAGTTTCAGACTGTAATGAGGAGGAATTTCTTCACCCAGTGTGGTGAACCTGCGGAATTCTCCAGCGTAGAAAACTGTGGAGGTGAATTCACTGAATATATTTAAGCAAGAAATAGATTTCTAGAAGCTTACGCAGTTATGGGGTTTTGGGAAAAGGAGAGACCTGGCTTCGAGATAGAGGATGAACATAATTCTGTTGAATGGCTGAATGGCTTAGGTGGGCTGAATGGCCTACTCCTGCTCCGATTTTCTTTTGCTTCTATCCAGAGTGCATTCAGTGTCCTTGCCACAGTTGGTGCTTCTTGGAATTGGTGTTCACCATGGAGGACTACTAATATATCACCTCAGTACGAGGGTGATTTGGAGCATGGTGGGTGATAATCAACAAGAATTTCCTAGCCTATGTTTGACCTGATGTCATGAGACTTTATAGGGTCCAGTGTCAATGGTCAAGATTTCCAGTCATACACTCACCTAACTGTATATTACTGTGTCACTACACCACGTTTGGTAGGTCTGTCTGCTGGCGAGACAGCATATACCTATGGATTGTGTTGATGCTGTCTGGGTCATTGTCTTCAATTTATAATTCCAAAAATATGACTATGTCTGTGAGATAGCTTTTCCAATGCTGGCACAAGCCACCAGGAGGAACTTGCAGAGCTGACAGGGCTATGTTTTCCTGTTAACGTTTCCTGGTGCCTAGATCGATGCTGGGTGATCCATGTGATTTCATTCCTTTTCATAGTCGTTGTGGTGGTTTTTGCAACTGAAAAGCTTGCTAGGCCATTTCAGAACACATTGCTGTGGATCTGGATCTAAATAAAGGCTAAAGACAGCAGATTACTTTTCCTAAGTGATATGAGTGAACTAGATGGGTTTTAGGGCAGTTGACAGTACTTTCATAGTCACCATTATAAAACCTTTTAACTGCTGTTTCAGTAATTGAATTGAAATTCCATGGCCTATTGAACCCATGTCCCCAGACCATTAGCCCATGCTTCTGGACTGCTAAACCTGTGTTATCATCACTACATCTCTTTCCCCCGCAATGAAGTCCACAAACAGATCAGCCATGAATTTATTCAATGGCAGAATAGGGAAGTGTAGATGTGCAAAGGGACCTGGGTATCCTTGTCAGTAAGTCACTGAAAGCTAACATGCAGGTGTGGTAAGAAATGAGGAAGGCTAATGAAATGCTAGCCTTTATTGCAAAAGGATTTGAGTACAGGAGTAGTGAAGTCTTGCTTGAATTATGTAGGAGCTTGGGGAGACCACCCTTGGAGTACTGTGTGCAGTTTTGTTTTTTCTTACTCAGGAAAGATTTTATTGCCATAGAGGGAGTGAAGCAAAGGTTCACCAGACTTGTTTCTGTATTGGCTGAACTTGTCAATGAAGAGAGATTAGGCGAACTGGCCATTATTCATTGAGTTTCGAAGGATGAGATGTGGTCTCATAGAAATTGACAAAACACTTAAAATGACAGACAGGTTAGATGTTTCCCCTGTCCTGGGAGTCCAGAACCAGGGTGTACAGTTTAAAAATAAGGATCAGTCTGAGGAGAAATGTTTTTATTTAGAGGCTTGTGAATGTTTGTAATTCTGTACCCCAGAAGGCTGTGAAAGCTCAGTCTTTGAGTATATTTTGTGTAAAGGTTGATGACTTCTTATTACAATGACATAAAGGGTTATGGAAACAATTTTGGTAAATGGCATTGAAATGTTTGATTGGCTATTATTGTGTTGAATGGTGGAACAAGCTTAATTGGCTGAATGACCTATTCCTGTTCCACTTTTCCTTTTATACTGAAGTATTTGCTTATAATTTGTGGTAAAGGTTTTGGACAAGTCTTGAAATCATGAAATACTGACTTAAGAGGCAAGAATAGCACCATTGAATCATGTCCCATTTGATAATGGTTGGGAGGAAAATGGGATAATAGTTGTGAGGCAACATGTTCTGAAATCTTATAAAGAAAGGAAAGGCTGTGAGTTAAAGTCTGTTCCTGTGACTTGAGCAGGTCAAGTGTAGCATGTGGTGTGGGAGTGCAACAGTGCTGAAGGTGCTGCCTCTCAGATGAAACACTGTAGCAGAAGTCAACCATTTATCCCTTGGGCCTGCTCTGCCATTCCAGATCATGGCTTATTATCCACTAGAAAGCCATTTTCCCACACTATCTCCACCTCTGTCATTATTATCTAGGGATCTAGTGATCTCTGTTTTGAACATCTTCAGTGACTGAGCTTCAACACCCTAGTGAGGTAGATAATTCTAAAGATTCGCTAACAACGGAAAATTAAGCCAAACTGTCATTTCAGGAAGCGCAAAATATTCAATGGCACTATTTTGAGTAAGAGGAGGGGTGTTCTCCCCATTGCTGTACCCAATATCTTTCCCTCCAGCAATATCACTGCAAAAGGCAGATTGCTGTTTGTAAGACTTTGCTGTGCACATGTTGGCTGCCACATTATAGCACAGCAATAAATTAGTCACAGCCTTTCAAATGCTGAGGATATGAATAGCACATTTTAAATGTAGATTCTCCAATGCTGTGGAATCAAAGCTGTTGCTTAAAATTTATTTTTACATCTGCATAAATTGTGCCTAATTTTTTATCTGCTTGAAGTGCAACAGGAACTTCCTGGTCAATTAATTTTAACCTCTTCGTATAATTTTGTAGTATCATTTTAAAACCTGGTCTACACATATACATGGTCACAATAATAATTATGCCAATAAAACATGTTTTGACAAATGATGCCCAGTTAGTGAGTAAACTTATTGCTGGGCATGCTTTTTTACGGGCCATAAAAAAGAAAAGTATCAGATTTTATCTGCTGAATTAACTGTTCTATAGTGGTTCAATAATTAGGCATCTCCATGTGGTGTCAGTGTTCATGAAAATCAAAAACTGAAGATCAGCCTTGTTGGCCGTATCTGATCATTATCCAGTGATCTATCCTGAAAATATGTGCAAATGTTGACCTCAAATGAAGACAGAATCAGGCTGAGCTGAATAGTCAACTTTGTTTTATAATTGAATTTAGCTGATTCAAAATTTTGAAGCAACAAATTGCAAGATGTGAATATTTTCAAGAAAATAGCAATGTGAAAATTAGTTCGTGTTATAATGAATAGACTGTTGTGCATGTGTTGTTGACTTGTTTTATAATTTTCAGGTGTTGTGAACACAATCTCCAAACTCACAAAGTCATGTATTCTAAGACTTACCAGTGACAAGCTCTACTTTATCTTTTCTGACAAAGTGGCCAGTGGAGGTGTTGCAATGTGGTGTCAGCTGTTTCAGGTATGGTCCATCTTGTGTATCATCAGTGAGGTATCTTTTTGTTCTTTGTTAATTTAGCATAATTTTTGCAGGAGGTAAGGAACTCAGGGGTCACTGCCATCAGCTGTCTTTTGATTTCAGGATGACATTTACCTGTAGTTGCAAGTTCTGCCATGGGTGGTTTTATGACTGAACAGGCCAATTCTCACCCTCAGATCTTTGGGCACATGAACAGGATGCTCTGTGGGGTCACACACACACACACACACACACACACACACACACACACACACACACACACACACACACATTCTCTCACTCACTCTGTCTCTCCCTCACTCTCACACTTGTAAATCTGTGGGGTGAATTTATATTTGCAGATGCATTCTATTTTGTTCAAAAGCATGCAATTTATAGACAGTCAGTCAATGTGGCATTTTATAAATTCCAATTTAGAACTAAAACCAGTCTGACTCCAAACCAAAACAGAAACAGATTCTAAACAAGGCCTCACACCTAACATGCATTGTTTGACCTAAAATGTCACCTGTTCTTTACACTGATAAAAGCTTTAGTACTCTTAGGGCAGTGACTTGAAAAGAAATTTGGGGCTTTACATATACATATTAATCAAACTAAACCTTCTAACTGTTTAAAGATTTAATAGCATCTTAGGTTTGTTTAATACATCCTCATTAGTGGTGTGACCTTTTGATCTTTTACTTATAAATTCTGTGTCTGATACAACCTCTCCCACTAACACCTAAAGAAGAAGCAAGGCTCCAAAAGCTCATGTTTTCAAATAAAACTGTCAAACTATAACCTGGTGTCGTGTGATTTCTGACCTTTACAATTTATATAGATGATATGGATGAAGGGACCAAAGGTATGTTAGTTAAATTTGCTGATGACACAAAGAAGGTATGAAAGTGAGTTGTGAAGATAACAAAAGGAGCCTACAAGGGATATAGGTAGGTTAAGTGAGGTTTTGCAAGTGGAGTACAATGTACGACAGTGTGAAATTGTCCATTTTGGCAGGAAGAGTTTCAAAGAAGTATATTATCTAAATGGTAAGAGATGCAGAGAGATCTGGGTGTCCTAGTGCATGAATTGCACAAAGTTAGCATGCGCATAGAGCATCATGAAGCAATCAGACAAGCTAATGGGATTATGTTTTATTACAAGGGGAAGAGTAGGAAGGTTATCATTCAGTTATACAGAGCATTGAGAGACTGCATCTGGAGTACTGTGCACAATACTGGGCTGTGTAGTCATGGAAGGATGTTAATGCATTGAAAGCAGTTCAGAGAAGGTTTACAAAATAAGTGCTTGGAATGAGTGGATTGTCTTATATAGAAAGGTTAGACAGGCTAGGCCTGTATCCTCCTGAATTCAGAGTTGATTTAATTGAAAATTATGAGATCCGGAGGGGACTTTACAAGGTGGTTGTTGAGAGGATATTTCCTCTTGTTGGAGAATCTAGGTCATAGTATAAAATAAGGAGCCACCCATTTAAGACAAAGATGACGACTTCTTTTTCTCTCTCAGATGGTTGAGAATCTTTGGAATTCTCTTCCTCAAAAGGCAGTGCATGCAGAATCTTTAAATATTTTTAAGGCAAAGGTAGATAGACTCTTGATTGCCAAGTGGTTGCAAGGTTATCGGGGATATGCAGAATGTAGAGTTGGAATTACAATCCGATCAGCCATGATCTTACTGAATGGCAAAGCAGGCTCGAAGGGCTGAGTGGCCCACTCTTGTTCTTTGTTTGTATGTTTGTCATAAGATTGTCTTGTAAATCTAGCGCAGAGTGGGAAATGATGCTGCAGTTACTGCAAGTTGTAGATCATGTTTCTGTTTTCATTTATGGGATGTGGGCATTGCTGAGAGGACCAGCATATGTTTTTAAGCCATTTCAGAGGGCACCTGAAAGTCAACCACATTATTGTGTGTCTGGAGTCACATGGGTGACCTTATAGAGGTTTGTAAAATTGAGGGGCAAGGAACATTATGACTAACAAATTTTATTGTTCCCCAGGGTTAGGGAGTTCAAAACTAGAAGGCATTAATTTAAGATGAGAGGGGGAAGATTTAAAAGGGACGTCAGGCAATTTTTTCAAACAGAGGGTGGTTTGCATGTGGAATGAATTGCCAGAGGAAATGGTAGGTGCAGGTACAGTTGTAACATTTAAAAAGTACATGAATGGGAAATGTTTAGAGGGATATGGGCCAAACAAAGGCAAGTGGGACTGGCTGAGTTTGGGAAACTTGGTTGGCGTGGATGAGTTGGACCAAAGGGTCTGTCTCTGTGCTGCATCACTCTATGACTCTATGTAGGCCATTCAAGGATAGCAAATTGCATTTCTTTGAAGAAATTTAGTTAACCAGACAATTGATATAGAGCCATCACCGGGCTAGACCAGATTTGTTAATTGAATTCAAATTTGATTTGAACTCATGGTCCCTGTGATCAGCCGGGGGCCTCTAGATTATTTGTCCAGTGACATTACCACTACGTCCTCATCTCTCCTTATGTCAATTTAGCTTAATTCCTTTAATAAAAGCAAAATAGTGCGAGTGCTGGAAATCTGAAGCAAACTCTGAATGCTGGAGAAACTCTGCACCTCTGGCAGCATTATTGGAGTGAGAGATACAGAGTTAACATCTCGAGTCCAGTATGATTCTTCTTTGAGCACTTCTGAAGAAGATGCGTACCAAACTCGAAATGTTAACTCTGTTTCTCTCTCCACAGATGTCACCAGACCTACTGAGTTTCTCCAGCATTTTCTGTGTTAGCTTAATCCATTAGATTTTGTACATATGCTTCTGTTTAAAAAGCTTGAGATCCCATATGTGTAATTAACTGCTTTATTAACCTGTCCTGCTAGTTTCAAAGTTTTATGTGCACATTATTAAGCTTTTCCCTTTCTCTCATGCTATCTTGGTTACAGTATAATGTGGTAGATTTGGTAAATTGCAACTCCTAAATTTAACTGAGAGTCACAGGTCACAGAGCCTATCCTTTGGTCAGAGGACATTGGAAAGATAAAGTTGTAGTTATGAATCTATCAAGTTTAATCCTGCATTGCATGCAATTTAATGTATGATCTGTTCAATCCTACAGGGTAATTTTTTTGATGAGTATCAGATTGAAGGAGTATCAGCAGAGCATAATGAAATTTACCTGGAACTGATGCCTGAAAACCTTGCAAGATCCTTGAAAACAGCTCAGAATGCCAAAACTGTGAAAATTAAGCTGACAATGAAGCATTGTCCATGTATCACCATTGCTGTAGAACTGGTAAGAGCAGTTGTGCTGGCAGTTTTCATCAAGTGGCAAAGTTGTCATTCATTGCTTTAATGTTATCTAAATTACGGTGAAAACATTATTCCATTCTGCTTTTCTGAGTAGTTTTGAAGATGGATGGTCTTCCTTTACTTAGTCCATGAATCTCTTTGCTTTTCAGTCATTCAATCATTTTTAGCTCAGCTCCTCTTGTGACACTTGTTATTATTTTGTGCAAGTAGTTTGATGCTTTGGATATATGGAATGGGACTAACTAAATTCCTGAAACCACTACATCCACAAGTATTATTTCTGTTTTATTTCTTTTTTAAGGAACTTGGTGTTTGTGAGTTGAAATGCTGATTATTAATTAGTTGGACAGAATAAGGTTTTAGCGACTGATTCTGCCAGATATTAATCGAAAGAGGACTGGATAAAGGAGTGAATTTATACTGTAACATTTCTGATGGAGAGAGAAAAAGCAGAGCAAACAAAGAGGAACAGAAACATGCTGATAAGAAGTGATACAGTAATAAAGAGCATTTATATGATCATATTTGGAAGAGAGAAATTGGAGGGAAGATAAGGTTTAAAAAAAGATTCAAGTGCAGAAGATCAGAGATGTAGATACTGTAAAAAAAAAATGCATGCTATTAAGTGAAAGCAAAAGCAGGCACAGTGGAAGGCACACAAAGCTAGAGAAGTAAACTTGGGGTCACAGAATTACAATCACGGGTAAGAAGAAAGAAGCATAGGGAGATTTATTGTTATAATCTATGACACAAGAAAATTTGGATTTATAGAACTTCTAGCACTACAAGCCAAGTGTGTATTGTTTTCTAAAATCTGCGAATAGACCTGATTTTTTGTTTCAAAAATCCATTGTAGAATTGCAAATGTAAATCAGAAGCTCACTTTCTGCAGTTTGTTTGTAAAACTTAGCATAACTTTTCTCCTTGCTCTTATAGCCATCCCTCTCCAGCCACAGTCGTGTTGTTACACATGACATTCCCATTAGCATCATCCCCAGAAAGCTTTGGAATGATTTTGAAGAACCCAGTGTTCCAGATTTTGATGTAAGTGATAATTTTACAATGAGTTTCTTTTTGTGTTGGTTTTGTTCAAGTTATGGAAATATACTTCCAACACACTTCAGTTTATTTAATTACATAATAAACAATACTTTTGCCAGTGCTTGAATTTTGCTTTGGTTTAAAAAGTGGCACAGTAGCTGGGAGCATGAGGAAATTGTTTGTACAACCATCTGAAGGTTTTCATTATGCACCTTTGCATATTTACCAATTTGTGGACTTTTCCATTCTCTCCCCACCTCACCAAAATCTGTATACTATATATGTTCCAATTAGTATAGATATTGTCCCAAACTTTGTTGAACTAGCATAGTTCTAATCACAACAAATAAAATTTGACGTGGTATGAGTAAACTGTTCAGCCCTTTAAGTTGTTTCCATTATCCAGGGCTGATCTGAATCTCAACCTCATTTAACTGCCTTTGGATGATATGTATTTGTTTGAACATCTCCTGGAAACCTGATTCTGGACTTGATATCTTTTCCAGAGCAGTGACTTTTGGCTGAAAGCATATTTTGCTGTTTAAGCACGCAGTATGTTAATTGCTTGCCATTAAGCATTAACTGTAGCTTAGTGAATAAGAGATTACTTCTTACTCAGAAACAAGATCACAGGTACTTGATTGTTTTCCAAAGACACAAAAGGATGCACTTCAAAACTTGAGATAAAATTTACCTGTATCTTTTTAGAGCTGGGAAGCTGTTTACAAGAGTAAGAGACTTGTATACCCCATTAAATAAAAGTCTTAGAAGTAATTTTAGATTGATATGCAAAAATGTAAGACCTACTGTTGAAGGTGTACTATTGAAGAATGAGAATGAATTACAAAAATTCTGAAGAACAATGAAAAATATACTAAAGTAGAATACAGAGATTAAGAGTCGGATAAGGAAAATTCCCCACTTGCCTGGATGAATACAGCTCTGATAATGCTGAAGAAACCTGACATCATGCAGGACACAACTGCAACTTGATTGGCATCCCATCTACAAACTTACAGTCCCTCCACCACCAACCGACCACAATCGTGTATACAGTTTAAAAGATGCACAGCAAAAATTCTCAAAAACTCTTTAGACAACACCTTCCAAACCAGCAACCATTACTGTCTAGAAAGATGGAGCAGTAGATGCATTGGAATTCTACCACATGCAAGCCACTCACCGTCCTGATTTGTAAATATATCAACATTCTTCTACTGTCACTGTGTCAAAAGCCTGGAACTCCCTTCCTAACAGCACTGTGGGTGTACTGACACTAAATGGACTACAGCGGTTCAAAAAGGTAGTTCACCACTACCTGATCCAAGGAAATTGGGAATGGGCAGTAAATGCTGCCCCAGTCACTGCCACCCACATCCCCTGAATGCATAGAACAAAAGCTAATATGAGGAAAGTAAATCAAAATCAATAATAAGAACCCTGAAGTACTTTACAAGTAGATGAATAAAAAGAGGATTGTTAGAAGTAAAATGGGACCTGTGAAAGGAGGTTTTACCTTCTTAATGATCAAAAGATATATTTAGAAATGATATCACTTTAGTGAGGAAAATGATGTTGCAATAGATATCAATCATGATGTGATTGAAGGTTAGATTAGTAATGTCATGCTGGATGAAAGGAGATGATATAAGTTAGTAAGTCTAAAGGAACACTAACCACCAGCAAGACCATAAGACCATAAAACAAAGGATCATAAACAAGCCATTCAGCCCATCGAGTTTGCTGTGCCATTGAGTGGGGTCATGGTTGATTTGATCATCCTTTAATCATTGGGATACCTTGAGAAATTCTGAGAGTCAAAATTGAACTGACCTCAAATTATATTTTGTTATGCTGTTTAGTGTAGTGTGCTGAAGGACTGGAAGGTGGGCATCGCAGTACCCATTTTTGAAAGGCGCCACAACGCTGATGAGATTAATACCAGTGTTTGAGAAATTTTAGTTAATCTAATTATGGATAATATTACTTTATAAACGGATAAAAGGAAGATAATGAAATAGCATGGATTTCAAATGGAGAAATTTTGCTTGATAAACCTCAGAAGTATTTGAGATGGTAATAGACAAGCTAATTGGGGGAAGTGTGGTGGATGTAGTGAATGTGGATTTTAGGAAACCTTTTGAAAAGGCACACAACAGAAGAAGGTCATGGGAGAAGATAAGTATATGAGGTTAGGAAGCAGATCACAATTTGAATTCAGTATTGGATGGAAGGGAGAAAAATGAGAGTAGGAATTAGAGCAGACTTTCAGGGCACGTGGAACTGGGAAATGGTGTTCCAGATTGTTGAGTCCTGGTACCATCTGTTAACAATGAATAAGAACAATAGCAAATTGTATTTAGATATTACCTTTAACATACTAAATCGCCCCAAGATGCCCAGTAAGAATATTATAAAATAATATATGGCACCAAGCAACGTCAATTGTGAGGGGAGTTGATGAAAAGCTTGGTTAAAAAGGTGAGTTTTAAGGAGCGTGTTAAAGGAAGATAGAAAGGTGGAAAGTTTTAGGGAAAGAATTCCAGAAGTATTTTGAATTTATAGTCTTCAAGCTGGCGGGTGGCTTTCAGAGAATAAAATCTAAAGCTAGCTGGAAAGCAAACTTTTATATTAGCAGCTGACTTCTTTGTTTTTGCAATATCAACGTAGAGTGCGTCATATTTAGTCACAGAAGCCTCAGTTGTTTCCAAAGGTTGTATAACATACATCATAGTTTTCAAACTTTTAGTGCTTAGTGTAATTGAAGAGAACTGTTATGTAACATAATTCAAGCTGGGGTTTGTATTTTTAAACCTGTTTATCATTTATTTTAAAGGTCAGTATTTATTTACCAGTACTGAAGACCATGAGGAGTGTTGTAGAAAGAATGAAGAATCTTGCTAACCATGTTGTAAGTTTGTATCTTAAAAACTACATTGATTAAGATTGTTTCCCATTTGTTGAATCTATTACTATCTTAATTGCTGAGCACAGTGTAAATAATTTTTGAGGTATTTCATTTTTTTGGAAGTACAAATGATAAGTAACGGGTTTAGTGTTAGCTATTTAGGACTGAAGTTGAGGCAAAATATTTACATTTGAGAACTGCAAATCCTTGGAATTCTCCAAGCCATAGGGCTTGAATATGTAGCCAATAAGCACATCAAAGACTAAGACTGACAGGATTTGTACACTAAGAGTTTAATAACTGTGGAGATAGGGTGGAAAAGTAGTTGTGATGTAGAAGAATAGCCAATATCTTATATCATAGATATCATAGAATCCCTACAGTGTGGAAGCAGGCTATTCGGCCCGTCAAGTCTGCACCAACCCTCTGAAGAGCATCCCACCCAGACCCACCCCCTACCCTCGACACTATGGGCAATTTAGCGTAGCCAGTCCACGAAACCTGCACATCTTTGGACTGTGGAATTAAACTGGAGCACCCGGAGGAAACCCACGCAGACATGGGGAGAATGTGCAAACTCCACACAGACAGTTCCACGAGGCTGGAATCGAACCCGGGTCCCTGGAACTGTGAGGCAGCAGGGCTAACCACGGGGCCACCATGGTGCCCTTAGTGTATGATGGAGCAGGCTCCATGAGCCATGTGGCCTACTCCTACTCATATTGAAGTAGATAGAAATAGGAGTAGATGAAAGCCATTTGGCCCATCGTACCCACTCTGCCAATCAATAAGATCGTTAACACCACCTTCCTGCCTACCCCCATAACCTTTTACTCCCTTGGATGTAAGTTTTATTGAGTGCACCTTTGAATATTTTCATTGCTATAGCCTCAGTTGCCCACTAGAGAAAAGAATTCCACACTAATAATTCTCGGAGAGAAGCTCCTTCTCCTTTCAATATGAAATAAGGGATTTCTTATTTTTAACGCCATGCACCCCACCCTCATTTCTAGACTCTCCCGTAAGCGGAAACATTCTCTCAGCATCTATCCTGTCAAACCTCTTGAAACTTGATATATTCCAATAAATTCACATCTCATCCTTCTAAAATTGAATGGGAATAGGTCTAACCTGCTCAAGTTCTCCCTTGAAGAAGAAACTGCTCATATCAGATTCAGCCTAGTGAACCTTCTGTGCCAGTTCATCTCACCTTAGTAATATGACTAAATTTATTTGCAGTGCATTAGGTGCAGTTGTAGCAAGACCTCTGTACTGTTATGACTAGGCCTCAGTTCCAGGCAGGATACCCCAAATTGTTAAGCTCCCGGGTGAGGTGGGGGGTGGGGTGCGTGTGATGAACCGGTTCACATTCTCTATTCACTCATCCCCTCAGTTGCAACAAAGTTGTTTTAAGATGGATATCTTCCCTTGTGGATATCTTTCAACCAAACGAATCAAATGAACTTCTGTTTTTAAAGGAGCCAATTTCATCAGGCTTTCTTGAATTAACAAAAATATTGACTTTTATCATTACTGCACATGAAAAGAAATTATAATGCAACACAGGTTGACCATGACAATGGACGTTACCCGTAATGTTGGCAGTTGAACGAGCATATTTTGAGATACTTGGTTTTGTAGGCTGATTGAATTTCCTTAGTTTTGATTCGCTTTTTTTTAGCTGGTTTGTAGTATACAGAATAAGAGAGGTTCTGTCTGCAACGCAAGGGTAACTCGGGAGTAGTTCTTCAACTGTGACCTCCATAGCATGCTGTTGCTTGAATGCAGGCTATTACACATGACAGCCTTTAGTCACACTAGTCCATGCCACTAGAGTTGAATCTTGTTTTTTAGCCCCTGTCCTGTGTTCTGTTCATAGTGAAAAATACAAAATGCATCTGCAGTTGGGCTGTAATCCACAAGTGATGGCTTGCTGTTAAATAGGGGATCATCAGCCCCCTATTATCTTTGTAGCCGCAGGAGATCACAGTCCAGTTAGTTTAAAGTTTCTCTGATGAATTACATTTGCAATATTCCTTCGGCTTAACACAGGACTTTGCCAGACAGTCAGTGAATTTAATCTACAGTTTTTCTGTTGTAGTTCTTTTAGGAGCTGTGCATTTAGGAATTAAAGTTAAAAGAAAGTCTCAGTCTTTTGGGGTTATGATCCATTTTCATAATATTCTTGTTTCTTTTAAAACTGTTGAACTGTGCAAAATATCAATTGTTCTGGGTGAAATGTAGACAAAAGATGGTAGGCAATAAAATAGTTTGAATAACAAAAATGTTAAGGAAAGTTTATAATTTTGTGGTACAGTTCATGTCAGTGCTTACATTGTGCACTGTTAGTGCCTACTAAGTTTTTTCATCCAAATCATGAGGTTTTACATCAGCATGCTGCACTGTTCAGTAGCATCTGTTGCCATTCTGTGCAGAAGTGTGATGATTGCAGTCACACTTAAATTAAAAACTGACTTCACTGAGTGGGATGCACTTCAAATCAACAATTTGACTTTTAAATTGGTCTTCTGGAACAGTAGTATTGTTTCATTTTCAGTCAGATTCTTTAGATTTATTTCATCCAAATGGAATTGTTTATGGTGAGACTCAGGGCATTCTGTTTTGAGTGTATCGGTGTGTACGTTTAGTGTAGTTACATATGAGAGTTAATAAAATATTATATTTTATTAAGTGGCATTGAGAATTTTTTGCTGGTTGGTTGCCTATATTTTAGAGGTTATGAGGCATAATATCCTTTTATTAAAGACTCTAACTTCTAAGCTTTAATTGATAACAACAGGATCCTCAATTGTTCTTCACCTAACAAGGAACAAATGACCAATTCTTATGAAACAAGTAGAATTTATTGAGCAAGATTGTATAAATACTTAACAACCAAGCTGTGAAGACAACATGGAAGCTTCTTATCTTTTAAGGCCCAGGATTCCTTGAATGTTGCTAGCAAAGGCTATGCCTTTCTTTTCATGTCTGTGAAATGACATTACATTAAATCAAGTCTGAGAAGAATTACACCTCTGTCACCCTTTATCCTGACTTCAAAGGGTCTCTTATTTCTTATTAGGAAATGGCTTGAACAAACTCTTTCCATTGGATTAAGATGAGGGTCATCTAGTGTCATCCTCATCTCTGTAACTGAGGCCAAACAAACGTCTCTTAGTCTTTAGAATCCAGGAGTTAAGATTTCAATTTAGCTACACATACTTTGTAAATACAGAGCAGTTGTACGTACAATATTAATCGTTCTATTGATAAAATCAACTGTCATAAACAATTTAACTCAGCATTCCCAGGATACTAAAACAGTTAAGCTCAAATGTAAATGGCAGAGGATCAGGATGTGCTTTTAAAATAACTGTTTTGTTCTATTGTTTTGATTTAAAGTCAGTTAGTAAACTTATTAAAATACATGATTCTTTGCTAAACACAGGATTCATACTAAATTGAAGCTACTAAATTAAAACTTTTTATTTTTTTCCTTAATACCGACAAACAAGCCTTGAATTGCATCTTACGTAATTAAAACAGACACTATTCTTTAATCCAGTCCCTTAGGTCAATTAAGCCAGCAAAACCAGTTCCTTGCAAACAACTGACCTGTTAGTTGTTTCACAAGCAGAAATTCAAACTAAACTGTTTAAAAAAATAGCTGGGTCAAAATCTTAAAATTTTACTCCAAGTCAATATAGAACCTTAGATAAGTATAGTCACCAAATTTTACAATTCATGGTTAAAGTCCAGAAGTGTAAATGAGTGATTTATGTAGATGGAATTTAATAATTAACTGATTACTTATTTATTGTTATTTGTATTAATTTGTTTAATTATTTATTTAGCCCAGAATTATTTACTAACATTGACAGTAAGAACACGAGGGTATGCTTTGATCTGAAACCAATGTTTTGCAGGAATCTGGCAATTTTGAAAAACTGGGTTGCAGTTTAGGCTCACTGATGGATTCCTGGTATCTGTTAGTGAGGAGAGTCCCGGGCTCCAAGTAGGAAAGTTCCAGGACTTGTGGCAGCATTTTGGAAAATCACCGTCACGAAAATGTATTTATGCAGCTTTCTCAGCATTCAAAATAGACAAGGATAGCTCACAAAATCCTCCCTGAGAGCTTCCAAAATAGCTGGGAAAATTCTATCACAGGGGACACCAATAAGACAAATTTTGTCCCATAAATAAGATGGGTTGAATCTCTAAGTGATCCTATCAGTGGCAAATGTGGATGAGGGAAGTGACATAGTAGTAATGTTACTACACCCATAATCCAGAGCCAGACTAATGCAGAGGATAACTAAAAACGCAACTGGGACGGAAGAAGATGAAATATGAAAGTAAGCTAGCTGGTAATCTAAAAGAAGATTGCAAGAGTTTCTTTCGATATCTAAAAGGTAATAGAGAGGCAAGAGAGGACATTGGACCTTTGGAAAAAGAGGCTGGAAAAGTAGTGATGGGGAACAAAGAAATGGTGGAGGAACTGAACAGGTACTTTGCATCAGTTTTCACAATGGAAGGCACCAGCAACATCCAGAATTTCAAGAGAGTCAGGGGCAGAGGTTGGTGCAATGGCCATAACAAAGGTGAAGGTGCTGGAGGAGCTGAAATGTCTGAAAGTTAATAAATCACCTATACTTGAAGGACCAAATCCTAGAGTTTTGAAGGAAATAGCTAAAGCAATTGTAGAAGCATTGCTGGTGATCTTTCAGGAATCAAGGAGGGTGCCAGAGGGTTGGAAAATGGGGAATGTAGCACTTCTGTTTAAAAAGAGAGAGAGACAGAAGACAGGAAACCAGAGGCAGGTTAGCCTGACCTTGGTCATTGGTAAGATTTTAGAGCCTGTTATTAAGGATGAGATTGCGGAGTACTCGGAAGTGCATAGTAAAATAGGGTGGAGTCAGCGTGGTTTCATCAAGGGGAGGTCATGCCTTATAAATCTGTAAGAATTACCTTTGAGAAGACAAAGAGTAAGTTAGATAAAGGAGAACCAGTGGACATGATCTATTTGGATTTCCAGAAGGCCTTTGACAGGATGCAGCACAGGATGCTGCTTAAAAAAAAAATGAGTTCATGGTGTTAGGGGTACTGGCATGGAAAGAGGATTGGCTGACTGACAGAAGGCAGAGAGTGGGGATAAAGAGGTCTTTTTCAGGATGGCAGCTGGCAACTACTGGAGTTCCACAGGGGTCAGTGTTGAAACAACTATTCACGTTATACATTAATGATCTGGACAGAGGAATTGAGGGTATTATTCTGAAATTATGCAGATGACACAAAAATAGGCGGAAGGACAGGTAATGTTGAGGAGATCAGGAGGCTGCAGTAGGACTTGGCTATGTTAGACGAATGTGCAAAGAACCGGTAGGTGGGGTACAATGTGGGAAAGTGTGAGATTATGCACTTTGGTAATAATAATGAAGGGTAGACAATTTTTTAAATGGGGAAAGGCTTCGGGAATCTGAAGCGCGAAGTGATTTGGGAGTCCCCGTTCAGGATTCGCTTAAAGTTAACATGCAGGTTTGCTTGGCAGTTAGAAAGGCAAATGCAACATTGACATTCGTTTCAAGAGGGCGAGAATATAAGAGCAGAAGTGTAATGCTGAGGCTGTATAAGGCTCAGGTCAGACAGCATTTTGAATATTATGAGCAATTCTGGACTACTTAAGGAAAGATGGGCTGCTGTTGAAGAGGGTCCAGAGGAGGTTTATAAGAATGATCCCAGGGATGAAGGGCTTGTCCGATGAGGAATGGTTGAGGTCTCTGGGCCTGTACTTGGTGGAGTTTAGAAGGATGAGAGGAGATCTGATTGCAACTTACAGCATGCTGAGAGGCTGGATTGAGTGGATGTGGAAAAGAGGATAGGCGAGGGGAGGCTGCAAGAGGGGTTGGGGGAAGAAGGAAGCAGCGAGAAGGGTTGGAGGCAAAGGGAGTGAATGCGAAAAGGGTTTGAGGAGAAGCAGAGTATACAAAGGAGAGAGAACAGTTTTAAACCTGTCAACAAAGAAATATTCAACTAACTGGGAGCTAGGAAAATTAGAAACCACTGAAGTAATGAATGTGGAAACTCTAAGGCTCAATAAAGTCAGAAGCTTCTATATAGCAAAAATGTAGTGGTTGAAGCTTTATTGAAAATATTATATTTAAATCTGAGATTGAGGTGAGATGTGATAGAACAGTAAAAATTGCCTGATTAAAATATGCCAACTTTGTTTATATGTCATTAAAATTCAATGGCTTTGATTTCACCAGTCTGTTGAAGATGTATGTGATGTCAGGGATTTTTGTGTGTAGAAGTGTCAGTTATTTTGGGGAAAAAATGTTGCTGTGTCTGTTTAAATACTGTGGTGTCTAGAAATTTAATGTTTTCCTTGTCTTTAAAGTGGATTTAAACTTAATGGAGAGTTGCTAATTATTGTGAATACTGATGAATTATTCTCATTCTGCTTCTTGAGAGTCCCAGTATGCCACACAACTATATAAACACAAGGTAATAACTGCATCACCATCAGTTAGTGACAATAATAAAGTAGTCACTGAAAACTGAAAAGTAGCCATATCTGAGGTTTGTATTCACCTATATATTTGTTATTAGTTACCGTGAAATCTATTGAAGTTAGCATGAAAATATATGTAAAGCTGTCTTTACCATTGTCTTCTGAATGTTGATGCTCTTAAGAAAGAAACGTACAAAATCCTAAGTATTAAATTTTTATTATACTTCACAAATTAATTGTTTTAGAATATATTGGAGCTGTTAGTATTCTATCAGTATTACTCATGTAAAACCTAATATGCTGATTTGTCTGCAAATGTAAATAGGTCCCATCCAATTATTTAGTGTCCTCTTGCATTGCTGCCATTTGGTCAGTCCTGAAACATTGGTTTAATATAATTCATCTGGTACAGTCGATTAAAATGATATGACTAGCAGCCTGTGCGAAGCCTTGATAGTGACATAAATGCACTTGCCAAGTTGGAAATTATTTTTTTAAAAATCATTTGAGCTATATACTGTAAGTACATTGTCAGTTTATTTATCTTGTCATGATAGCAGTAACACCATGATCGATCAATTTTCAATTTCCACCATCTGATTTTAGTACCTGAGATCTTTCCTGGACTAAATTTGTTTTAAAAAAGAACAACAGTAACTTAAAATAACTGCAGCCATTGCCTGATCACAGGTTGATGCAATTTCAAGAAACTAGTGTAGATTAAATGATGGGGAGGTGATGGCCTAGTGGTATTATCGCTGGACGGTTAATCCAGAGACCTAGACAATGTACTGGGGACCAGGGTTCGAATCCCACCACGACAGATGCTGGAATTTGAATTTAATAAATATCTGGAATTAAGAATCTAATGATGACCATGAATCCATTGCTGATTGTTGGAAAAACCCACCTGGTTCACTAATGTCCTTTAGGGAAGGAAACTGCCATCCTTACCTAGTCTGGCCTACATGTGACTGCAGGCCCACAGCAACATGGTTGACTCTTAACTGTGGTCTGGGCAATTAGGGATAGGCAATAAATGCTGTCTAGCCAGCAATGCCCTCATGCCGTGAATGAATAAAGAAAAATATGAACTGTAGTTATCATTTTATCCAAAGACATTGAAGCTGGTCAACTGAGTGAAGCATAAAGAAATTAGTATCTTCTATTTCGGATTGCACATACCTGATAGTTGGCACATAATGGATGTGATATAATGCCTGTAAGATGTCGAGTGTGAGGAAAAACAACAGTTCCAGACATGGGAATACACAAATAAACTATATTTGAGACAAAACAAGAGTTAAAGAAATATAGATTGGTAACAGCAAGGACTGGAAGAATCTCTCTCAGCCAATTTCCTTCCTGTCTTTTGAAAACAATATTTGGTGAAAAAACAAATGGGAGAAATAACCATTCACCAAGATATATATAAATGGTGCTCATATTGAAGATACCAATCACCAAGTAAATGACTTGATCTCGAGACAAAATCTAAAACCTCCAGAACTCTAGGAGCTTTTAAATGCCCCATCTGTTTATTCTTCCTCTCTGGACCAGACATTTTCCTCTTTAAAAGCTTGTGCAGGTGTTATGTGTATATTTGACATTGCATTTTATTTAAAAATGCTAAAAATAAATAAAAATGTTTGTTGCAAACAACCAAGATGGTGTTTAAAAACAGGGGAGCCAATTCACCACTTCTCAGCTGGTCATAACAGTCTTAATACAGGGGACTGAAAAAATGTTCCATTTTGGTTAAAAATCCTGTTTATCCAATGTGACATCATTGCTTTGATTGGAATTCAATCTGTGCTATATTTTGAAGCAAATGAAATTGCAGTATCAAAATAATTTTTAGATCATACAAAATTGTATTGACTTGGTTTATATTTGCGCATGTATACCTTGTGATTCAGTTTGGCATGCACATCTTTAGTAGCTTAATAGACTTGGTGGTTCAGAAAGCTCTGTGCCTTCATTTGATCAATTTGGATTCATAAAAGGGAAGGGCAGAGATCCAGCAGGGGGATTGCATGCTGTTCCTGAGCATAGTTGAATAGAGCAACAACTGGATTGCTTCAGCTACTACATCCAACCAATGCCCTCATAAATTTAGCCATAGCCCTGTCTCAGAACTGTCATGTTAACTCAGCTGCATGACTTAGGAGAAGTATGTGTTCAGCAACTTGTAGGTATTTTCAGTCTTGGCATTAGTGATAAATTTAAGTGATGCATCTGTAGATTTTTACATTTCAGATCATTGAAGCCAATCAGAATGGAGAAATGAATTTGAAAATTGATACTGATCTGGTGTCAGTGACAACACATTTTAAAGAACTTGGGAATCCTCCATGGGGTAAGTAACTTTCTTCATTCACTCATGGGACATGGGCATCGCTGACTGGCTTCCTTTGAGAAGGGAGTGATGAGCAGTCATCGTGAACGACTGCAGTCCATGTGCTGTAGGTAGACCCACGATGTTGTTAGCAATGGAATTCCAGTATAAGAATACTTCCATGAGAATATTTGTGCAAATAGAAAACAAGATATGGTAGAGTTTAAAACTTGTTTGCCAAACTACCAAATTTTCAGTAAACATGTATTCATATTCACAGGAACATGAGTAGGCCATTCAGCCCCTTGGGCTTGGTCTGCTATTCATTTAGAACATGGTTGATCATTTATCTTAATGTCACTTTCCTGCGCTATCTCCATATCCCTTAGTGCCATTTCTGTCTTGACCACGCTCAATTGGGCTTCCACAGCACACAGAAGAGAATTCCAAAGATTCATTTGTCTGGTTAAAAAAAACTCCTCATCTCAATATTAACTGATCTACCCCATTTCTGGGATTATGTCATCTTTCTCAAGGCTCTCAAGCTAGGGGAATCATTCTGTCTACATCCATCCTATTGTATCATGTAAGAATTTTGTACATTTTAATGAGCTCACCTTTCAGTCTTTGAAACTCTAGAAAGTACAGACTCAGTTTCTTCAATTTCTCATAAGACAATCTCACCATCTCAGGGAATAGTCTCGTGAGCCTTCATTGCGTTCCCTCTATTGCAAGTATATCCTTCCTTAGATCAGGCGACCAAAATAGTACACAATACTCCAGGTGTGGTCTCACCAAAGCTCTATACAACAGCAGGAAGACATTTTTGTTCCTGTATTCAAATCCCTTTGCAATGAACATCAAAAATTATTTGCCTACCCAATTGCTTGCCGGACCTGCATGCCAGCCTTTAATGACTCATGAACAAGAACATCCAAGTTCCTTCAAACATTAATACATTTCTAATGTCTTGACATTGACAAATTACACTTGTAATACCGCATAATTTCATACTAATTCACATTATATTTAATCTACCATATTCTTAGCCATTATTTTAACCCGTTCAAGTCCGCTTGAAGCCTCTTTACGTTCTTCACACAACTTATATTCCCATCTAGTCTTGTCATCGACAAGTTTGGAAATATTACTTTTGGCCCCCCCATGTAATTTATTTATATAAATTACAAACATCAATGGCCCCAGCACGGATCATTGCTTTAGTTGAAAAAGTTTTGTCGAACGCTAGGTAAAGGTGTCTACTGTGCCATACTTATGATGACTTTCTACATTGAGATATAAACTTGAACAAGATGACTGTACACTGTAGACAATGTACTACTGGAAGATTGGATTCCAGTTCCTAATATGCTTTTGTCCCATTTTAAAGGTGATTTGCTCTACTGTTTTACTTATTATCTTTATATATGTAAACCAATAGTATGTGTGTGTGTGCAGATACATGTTCTTCATACTTGGAGGGGAGTGTCCTGTTGGGCAATGGTGGAGAAACATATTTATTGATTAGCTGTTCTCAACATTTTGTGTTTTCTATTTTGCAATAACTTTACTTGTTTTCTGTTATTCTCTTGACTCAGTTTTGTTGCTTTTAAATGACTGCTGAATGCTAAAACATGGAACAAATGGTGGGAAAAATACGTGTATACATGCTCCGTATTAACACTGAGTCATGAAATTCAAGTTTTGTATATCAAACAAAGACGTCAATCACCTCAGCTATTGCCTTCCTGAAGGTAATATTATCTAAACTGATACCCTCTGATTTTGGAGATAGCAGGAACTGCAGATGCTGGAGAATCTGAGATAACAAGGTGTAGAGCTGGATGAACCATTTCTGAAGAAGGGTCTAGGCCCGAAATATCAGCCTTCCTGCTCCTCTGATGCTGCTTGGCCTGCTGTGTTCATCCAGCTCTACACCTTGTTACCCTCTGATTTTGGATCTTTTGCTGAGTCATAGAGATCTACAGCTTAAACAAAGGACCTTCAGCCCAATCACTTCTGCACCAGTCAAAAACAACAACCTCACTACTTAAATCCCATTTTTCAGCATTTGGCCCGCAGCCTCTTTGGCTTTTGATGCATCTTTATTTTACTGGGGGCTCCTACAGCTAATATCTAAAAGGTGAAACCTATACTCATCTGCTGATATGTCCAATGTTGCTGAGTGTGGAGCAGTTCCTTTTGGCTATGATACTGTTACTATAATTAAGCATCTATTTTGCTTTAAAGACCATAAAATTGATTTTTAATGTAAGCTTTAGCGTAAACCTTAAAATTCAACTGATAACAAATGAATTCTTATTTATGGTAGTTGAAGAGGGTACGCAACCTGATTCCTACCAAATAAGGGATCCAACAAGCATGGCTGAAGCTCGGATAGACATAAAGAGACTTCTTCAGTTTCTTGCTGGACAGCAAGTGAACCCAAGCAAAGCCATATGTAGTAAGTTATTTATAATTTTTCCAATTTTTGTCTGTTTTGACTAACAATGTTGGATTTTGGGTAGAATTTACAATATAGGAATGGGTCATTCTCTAATCAATCTATTCAGAGATGTTATTGCACACCTGTGAAGCAGGTGAGACTTGAAGCAGGTGAGATACTCTCACCATGAGGACCCTCAATAGATCGTTCAGCCCATATATATGGTGCATGAAGACTGGCATAAGAGTCTCCTGATATTCTACGTACTCATCTGCAAATGGGAATATGTTGGCCTAACACAACATTTAATAAACTTCAGCTAAAACAGGGAGCTAATTGCTGTAATGTAAATCTGGAACAATTGAAACTCATCAGAATTTTAAAACTAAAATTCTTTTTGATGCTTACTTTCGTTAACCAAGTTGCATGTGAGATTTAGTTTTGCATTTGTATTTTTTGTAATCTTCTGAGGCATTGTTTATGTAGCAATGAGGTCCTTTTAATGGATCAAGTAGTCTTTGTAACTCCATTGGTTGTGGAATCATTTAGCTCTGGCTATCACTTGCTGCTAATGCTGTTTGAAATGCAAGTGGTGCTGTTTGGTAGCTTCACCAGGTTGATACCTCATGTTCAGGTATGCCTGGTGCTGCTCCTGGCATGCCCTTCTACACTCCCCATTGAACTAGGATTGATCCCCTGGCTTGATGGTCATGTTTGGGTGGGGGATATGCCGGACCATGAGACTGCAGATTGTGCTGGAGTACAATTCTGCTGCTGTAGATGACCCACAGTGCCTCATGAATGCCCAGTCTTGAGTTGCTAGATCTGTTCAAATTCTGCCCCATTTAGCACAGTGATAATGTCACACAACGTGATGGAGGATATTCTCAATGTGAAGGCAGACTTTCTCATTACATTTTGTACCCTTGCCAGCCTCAGTGCTTCCTCCAACTGTTATTTCACATGGAGGAATAATGATTTTTCAGCTGAGGGAGGGTGATCAGCAGAAGGTTTCCTTGCCCATGTTTAACCTGAAGCCATGAGACTTCATTTTGTCCAGAGCCAATGTAGAGGACTCCCAGGACAAGTCCCTCCTGACCATATAACACTGTGCTGCTACTTCTGCTGGGTGTTTTCTGCTGATGGAATAGGACATATCCAGGGATGGCGATGCTGGTGACTGGGACATTGTAAGATATGATTCCGTGAGTATGACTGTCAGGCTGTTGACTCATCTGTGAGACAGCTGTCCCAAATTTGGCACTAGCCCCCAGATGTTAGTAAGGAGGACTTTGCAGTGTTGTTGGGCTGCTTCTGCCATTGTCTTTTCCAGTGCTCAGGTTGATGTCCAGTTTAATTTCTTTGGTGGGACCTCATAGCAATTAGTACAACTGTGTGGCTTTCTTGGCCAGTTCAGAGACCAGTTGCAAGTCAAGCACATTGCTGTGTGTTTGGAGTCAAGTGTAGGCTAGGCAAAGTAAGGATGGCAGATTTCCTTTCCTGGTGGGCGTTAGTGGGCCAGATGGGTTTTTCTGTCAGTCGACAATGGTTTTATCAGATTCTTCATTCCTGATTTTTTAAACTTGAGTTCAAATTCCACCAACTGCTGTGGTGGGATTCAAACCCGGGTCCCCAGAACACTAGCTGAGTTTCTGAATTAATAGTCTAGCATTAATGCTAGGCCATCACCTCCCTGAGGCTCCAATGGGATATTGGTGAAGAGAAAGAGTGGGCGAGAAAGTAGCTTAGGAAATACAATGTTGGTGAAATGCAAAGTTAACCACTTTGGTGGGAAAATTGAAAAAGAATATTTTTTGAATGATGAGAGACAGATAGTATTGAAAAGGACCTGGCTGTCCTTGCATACAAATCACACAAGATAAAAAGCAGGTGCAGTAAGCAGTTAGAAAGACACATCATCATTAGCATTTATTACAAAGGGACTTGAACTAAAGCAGTAACAACATCTTCATACGTTCATAGGTTTGGAGTTCTGTGATAGACTCTCAGAATAAGGGGTCCACTATCTAGAACTGAGATGAGGTGAAATTTCTTCACACAGGAGGAATTCTGTACTCCTGAGGGCTAACATGTGAACAAAGAACAAGATGACTCGACCCTTTGAGCCTGCTCCGTCATTCAATAAGATCATGGCTGATCAGATTTTAACCTCAACTCACCATTCCTGCATATCCCTGATAACCTTTCAGCTCCTTGATAACCAAAATTGTATCTAGCTCTGCCTTAAAAATATTTAAAGATTCTGTATCAACTGCCTTTTGAGGAAGCGAATTACAAAGAATCATAGAATCCCTACAGTGTGGAAGCAGGCAGAGACACTCAACCCTCTTGCAAGAAAAATGTTTTAAATGGACAACCCCTTATTTTTACAAAATTACCCCTACTTTTCCCACAAGCAGAAACATCCTTTCAATATCCACACAGTCAAGTCTCCTCAGGATCTTATGATTCAATTAAATCACTGCTGACTCTTCTAAACTCCAGAGAATTCAGGCCTAGCCTGTCCAGCTTTTCCTCATAAGGCAACCCACTCATTCCAGGTAGTGGTTAGTAAACCTTCTCTGAATTGCTTCCATCGCATTGACATCCTTCCTGTTGATACAAAGTACACAAGTATGTTCAAAACAGAGGTTGACTGATTTTTGTGCACATAGGGAATTAAGCAATGCAGAGTGTGCATAATATGAATTAAGGTAGAAGGTTAGCCATGACCTCATTGAATGGTAGAAAAGACTTGCAGGGTCAAAATTCCTATTTGTTTCTTATGTTCTTGAGGACTGATAAGTCTCAAGGACATTCAGCCTTTTTCAGTGAGGACTACTAATGATTTATCACATGTGCAAAGCAAGCCCAGTTACACATTTGTCACAGATGAGTTGGAAAAATTACTTCCTGTATATAGTGGCAAGTTTTAATTCTCATATCGATGGTAACCTATTTTAAACAAATGAGCAAATGCTTGTTTTATTTTACGATTGTACATTTGAAACTTGTTAAATTTGGTACATTTATAAATATTTCAATAATATTATGCATTTCTTTACAGATATAGTGACTAACAAGATTATTCACTTCGTTTTACTGCATGAAGATGTGTCTCTTCAGTACTTTATTCCAGCTCTTGCTTGAGAGAGTTCACATTAACATCTAAAAGTATCATGGACACCTGCATCCTTTCTTGAAATGAAAGAGCATCCTGTCTGAGAAGTCCTCACTGTGACAAGACATTTAAATGTGGTGCCAATAATTGGACTTGACGTTGCAATAGCCTTTGTTTTTAGATCTTGGAAAGATTATTGCTTGGTAATTAGTGCCTAATTTTCAATTCAGCATAGAATGTTTCAATATTTTTTCTACTTTTCTTGATAGACTTATCTGATTTCATCCAGTTTTCAATAGCTACTGAAAATGAAACTCAATTTTCCAACCTGTCTTATTAATGTATATGTGGTTTCAGAGCTGAAAAATAGTAATTTAAAAAAGAACTAAAAAGATCTTCTATGGAGTTTTGCTTTGCTGCATGTTCTTTATTTTTCATATCAAAGCAATCGTTGGATTTTAAAATATACTTCTAGTCTTTTGTGCATAATTTGTTACAATTTCAGTTATGTTGTTGTTTGGTTTTTCTTCCTCCTTTGTATTACTGCCAATTTGTTTATTTATTGAAGATGCAAGACCGAAAACATTATCAAAATTATTTTCACTATTTATGTTACCAATAAAAAAAACAAAATACATTCACTTCAAGTGTAGAAGAGTTACAAGAGGCCATTTGGTCCAGTTGCATAAACAACTCAGTTAGTCCCATGGTGTTTCCTATCATTGTGCAAATTCTTTCTCTTCAAATAATTATTCAAAACTTCTTTGAAAACCCTAATTGAGTCAGTCTCCAGTAAACTCTCAGACACGCTTTCTGAAGGGGGAGGGGAGAGAGTGTGGGACATATTGGTACTTGTGACAAAAGTAAAAAAAAGGGATAGGGTTCTATAAGCAAATTTAGGGAGCTGGAAAGTAGACTAAAAAGCAGGACCTAAAACGTAATAATGCCTAGGTTACTTCTGGTGCCATGTGATTGTGAGTGTAGAAATAGGAGGCCAGTCCAGATGAATGCATGACTGGAGAGATGGTGCAGGAGGGGAAACTTTAGGTTTCTGGAACATTGAGATCGATTGGAGGGAAGGAGGGAGCGTACAAGTTGGATGGGGTGCATCTGAACCAGAATGGAACCGACAACCTTGGGGGCGGTTTGCTAGTGTTGTTGGGGAGGGTTTAATCTAACTTGGCAGGGATATGGAATCCTGAGAGAAGGTTCAGCAAGGAGAGATGCATGGCCAAAATTAGAGGATGTAGCAAGGGCATTGAAAATAATAGCCAATTAAAGCTTAAGGGAGTTTGGCAAGGTTGGATGTTATTTAGTTTGATGCATGGAGTCTGATAAACAAGGCAGATGAGCTGAAAGCACAAATTACAATATGGGATACAATGTCATTGTTATCACTGAGACATGGTTGAGAGAGGGGCAGGATTGACAGCTCTATTCCAGGATGTAGGGCTTTCAGATGAGACATGGAAGGAGTTAAAAGAGGAGGGGCTGTTGTAATATTGATCAGGGAAATCAATATAGCAGTAAGGAGGGATGACATCTAAGAAGACTCCTCAAATAAATCCATATGGTTAGAAGTTAAAAGCCAAAAAGGAGCAGTCACGTTTCTGGTAGAGTATTATAATTCCCCTAACAGTCAGAGAGAAATAGAGGACCAGATATGTAGACAAATTTCAGTGCAATGTAAAAGTAATAGCGTAGTGGTTGTGAGGGATTTCGACTTCCTCAACATTAACTGGTAGTCTTAATGTGTGCAGAAGTCTTAAAATGCTTCTTAAAGCCAGCATGTCAAAGGCCTTCCAAGAGATGGTCTGTCCATAATTTAAGGCAATGAAGCTGGGTAAGTGGTTGAAGTGTCAGTGGAGGAGCGTTTTGCAGACAATAATCCTAACTATTCAAGATTGTTATGAGAAAGGACAAGGATGGGTCTGAAATTACGGTTCTAAACTGGGGGAAGGTGATTAGATCAGATGTGATTCAGCCAGAGTGGACTGGGAGCAGATACTTGTAGGTAAATCTGTCAGGGTAGTGGGACACTGAAGGGAGAGGAGAGATCATTGCTGGAATGGGGGTGGGGGTGGGGCATAGATTTAAGATAAGTGGCAGGAGGTTTACAGGGGATATGAGGAAAATCTTGTTCACCCAGAGGGTAGTGGGAATCTGGAACTCACTGCTTGTAAGGGTGATACAGGCAGAAGCCCTCATAATGTTTAAAAAGTATTTTGATGTGCACTTGCAATGTCCAGGTATACAAGGCTATGGACCAAGTGCTGGAAAATGGGCTTAAAATTGTTACATGCTGTGTTTTGACTGACACAGACTGTATTGGCCAAAGGGCCTTTTTCTGTGCTATCGGCCTCTATGACTGTCATGCAATTTGAATCCTAACTGCTGCCAACAAAAGGTTTTTCAACAGGTTGCTATTGGCTCCTTTGTTAATTGCCTTCAATCAATGCCCTGGTTCTTGATATATGCGCCAATAGGAATAGATTGTCCCTGTTTACTCTGTCTGAACCCCTCATTATTTTGAACACATCAATCATACCTGCTTCCATATGGGTGTTTTCCTGATGGTGGATAGAATATATTTATACACAGAATCCAGTCTATTCACAAAGGCATCCTTTTTTTTCTGTCTCACTAAATAAAAAGAAGTCTGTGGGCCTTTGGGGGGGAAAATGTAGAAAAAAAACCTCAGACTAAGGCAGCATTCTGTTTTGTTAGTGGAAACCATTGACATTGTAGGAGAGAGAGGTTTCAAACCATTGATTTCTAGTACATCTCTATTTATATTTTTCAAACTATGACCAGTTACCACCACATTGTCATAACACAAGTCAATTTCTGTTGTCCTTTCTAAGTTATTTTGTAACCTGATTCAATTACATTGCAAATCTATTTTTTTAAAAGTGTCAGTGAACAAATGAATGTTTCAAATGCTGTGTCAACAGTGTCCCCAGCTTGTGAAAAAGCAATTTTGCCAGAATTCTTTTTTCAGGCTTCTGTATGACGTCTTTACAAATAGAGGACTGGAATTTTCCATCCCACCTGTTGCAATCCCTTCCCATTGCTAAGTATCTCAGATTTGCTGCATTGATTGTGCACAGTAATTTGAATGATTTGTGGAAAATGTAATTATTGTTGTTGAAGGGAATGGTTTCTATCCTAATTTTAATTTCTTTTCTACTGTTTCTCACTTCCATTAAATGCAATGTAAAATACATTGTCACAAATAAAATAGAGGTGGAAATATTCTTTCATCTTTAGAAATTATTAAATTTATTGAATTTATTGTGCATTCTTGTATGAGCTGCAGGACTTGGAAGTAATACCAACTCGATTAAATCATGGGGTTTTTTAGTTTTTATTTCTCCAAGAAATTCTAAGAATTTTTTTCAAAAAAATGACGAGACAATATTCGAGTCAAAATCAAATTTAAGTTGAAGACAATGACATCCTGTTACCTATACAGATTGCCATTACCATCTCCCAGTATTTTGATTTACAAAATATGCCATTCAGATTTTGCATGTTGTCAGTGATTGTTTCAGATCCAGATTATTTTTTGAAAATATAAATTTTAACAACAGAAATAACTGGAAGAAGCTATGGTTCGACAGCATATTGATTGCTACAGCTAGAATGTAACTGGGTAGAAATAGGAATAGGACCAAGTATTCCTTTGTAGGCAGTGAATTTAGAATTTTGCTTGGTTGTTTAAAAGTTATGAAATTCTGCAGTGCTCATTATGTTTTTCTACATAAAGGAATATGAATGCGATGCTACTCAAATTTACGTTCAACCATCGGCTTTTAGCTCAGTCTGTTGCTCGCTGACAATACATTCTCCTTCACTCCACTGTGGTGTCACTCAACAGAATGGTGATTGCCTGCAAGCATTTTTGGTGGCAAGTTGCTTAAGTTCCTATGTGTCTCTACATTGTCTTGTTTCTAAAGAATGTACAGTTTTTCAGTCTCTGCTTTCTTATTTTCTGCTCATAATTATCCAACAATAAAAATGACAGTGATGATATTAGCAATTTGCGCAGTTGCCCAAAGAGATTATGTTCCAATGAGATCTCCTCTCAACCCAGCTATTGCTAACATCTTTTGTCAGGTACCATGAGAAGCACATCTTCAATGGAATAACCACTTGTTTACTTCTGATTCATGAACAACACATTTGTGTTATCTTAATCCACAGCTATATTGAAGAATTCCTTTTCACAGCTTAATAACCATTTACACTCAAATTTAATGCTGAAAAGGAGAAATCAAACAAGTCTCCTTCAGGTGTTAGTTGAGAAATCTGCCACAATAAGTAAGTCCACATTCACGGGTCAATGTACGTGTTGGAATCTCTCGAGTTCTACGTGTAACAATAGCAATCTTATTGGCAACTTTGTGAACTGGGCCCTAGTAATCTGCTCGCTGTGTAAGCTTGATGCTAAGACAGAGTGTATCACAGCTATCCTGAATGATAACAGTGATAATAATCAATTTATCATTCAGTGTATATCTTACAAACTCATGAATGGGCTTACGGCCCCCATTTCTGACCCTGATGAATGCCCAGTCTGCTTCAGATTACCTGGGAGGTATCAGTGACTCAGAAATTTGAGCATCAGGTGAAACTGACCATCACTTGCTGCTATTTTGCAATGAAGGCATGAGTAATAATTTCTACCAACAAAATGCTGCCATTCAGCCAAAATGAGGCATTTTGCCTGACAAACATATGAACAATGTGGTCTTTGAGTTTCAGTACTGGTCTGATACAGATCATACATCCCAACAACTAGCAGACTATACAAATAACACATCCCTTTGACCATTACAACAGGCAATATGCTGATCATGCTCAACGCATGCCTATAAAATGCAGAACACTGGCCAACATTAAAGATGATTCAGTGATTCGGTAATCATTATTAAATAATCTGAATTGTGCTAAAAAAAAAGCAGCCAATTTAATATTATTTAATGGGCTCACAATATGATTTATTTCTGTGTGCTCAAAATGACATTTATTCATGACCCTGTTTTCTGTATGCAAAAATAATTTGTCCATACATTGAGAAAACAAGGTGTAGAGCTGGATGAACACAGCAGGCCAAGCAGCATCAGA